ACAACTTTTGTGAGGCAAAAGGAACTGATTATGAAACAGGATATGCAGGTCTGCAATAACTTAAACATGGAAAGGAAGTCACAGGTTCAGTTCAAACTTTCTTACTATCACTGAATAGTCTGTGATTTTAAAATGTTCTAGAGGAAGAAAAACCATGTAACATAATACTTGTTTTTCTCTATTCAGTGTGCACATTTTAATCAAACGTCCATTAATAAATCTTTTCACAATTCAATCTGTTTTAATAAAAAAGTGAATGCTTGCCAAAAAAACCCCCCAAAAAATAAAAAAACAAAACAGATGTGGAGAGTGACAGTCAACTGCATTTGTGGCATAAATTAAGTTCTTTATGCAATCACATTATTAGCAGTTAAAATTGGTAAAACTATATTGAAGAATGAAGTCTGTGTCCTGCTGGTAAACCCTTGTAAGTTTTGAAGAATGATGTATATTTTTGCCATAGAAAGTTGATTCAAGTTGCAGAGACCACCTAATTTGTTGAACCACCTTATTGGTTGCCACTGTGTCATCATAGTTTCCACAGGAGGGTTATTCAGTGCTGCTCAGCTGTATTAGTCTTTCCCAGTTTTACTACCATTGCAGGGTCCCTGGGCCTCCAGCAGCCTGAAGTACAGCAGCTGCCTCAACAGGAATTTGGCACAGTTACGAGAAAAGTGAGGAAAAAAGAATCGCAGTGGATATCGGAATGCTGGTTTTGTCCTCGGCTTTTTAATATTTTAAGGATAAATACAATCTTCTACTAATGAATGAGCTGCCCTTAGCTGGCTCTCTTTCATTTGTTCTGGTGATCATAACAGTAATTTATATTTAATTTGTATCCCAGATAATCTGCATGTCTGACCATATTAGCAAGCACAGATACATTGTTTTGCTCTCAAGGGAAGAAGCAACCCACAAAACAAAAAACCTCTTGCAGTCAACTGCAAAGAACTGGTCTTAAAAATCAAGCTCCTGAAATCATATTTAAACAATTAACAGTTTGTCTTCCAAAACTGCGAGCACCCAGTCATTCTGATTTAGAGTCTGCATGATTTGTGGAGGGTGAGGTATTTCTGAAAGCCATGACAACTTATGTGTTAGAAGAGCCCTGTATTACTTACTTGCAGTTTTTAAACTTTTTTTTTTCCTTTTAAATTTGTTTGTGTTGCTGGAAGATGGTAATCAGGGGCAATTCATCTTTATTTGGGCATGAGACAGGGGAGAGGAGGACTGATGTTTTCTTTATTAATGGAAAACTCTAGGAAGTTTGTCCTCATTATATGCTTTGGGTCCAGATCCAGTAAGGCAAATATCAGCCAGTCTTCCAAATCAATTATTAAAGTGTCTTCATCATGTTCAAGTCCTTTTCTTCAGCAAAGAGATTGGCATTGATTGTTTTACGATTCTGTCTTGTTAGTCTCTGCACTGAAAAGCCATAAATATGCTAATGCATCTGTGCAGAGGATCTCCATTAGGGCTTGGGACCACCCACTCATTTCTTCTGAGGAGACCAGTAGCTGTCATATAGCACCTTTTCATTAGCTACTGACCTGGACTGAATCTAAACTGGTGACCAAGAGGAGAAAGGTATTTTGTATCTCATTATTAATCCTCAGGGCTGTCAAGTATTTTCAGTAAAATTTATGAATAACTTCTTTATCCTTCAAGTAAGTCTGCTGTCATAGGGTTGTAAACTTAGAATTTTTGCTTTGTAAAATTGCCAGAGCATGTCATTGTGCATATATGACTGCAAACCCTGCTGCTAGAAATTGGGAGATTGCCAGTGGCTCTCAATTCCTGCATTTGTATGGGTCAATACATGTAACAGTGAGCATGCACACCAAATGCCTTCCTGCCCCAAATCAGTATTTTTCAGCTGTATTTCTTTAAACAATTATTTGGATTTTCTTAAAAAGTTATGATTTTATTCCCTTCTACCATCTGTTTTATTTAAGACTGAGAACATATGGTGGGAAGAGGACAATGACAGGGTTACTGTCAAGTAAACTGCACAGTGTCTGCATTCTGTTGGGTAGTTAAGATATATATTGGATAATCGAAAAAAGGTGATAAATACTAAATTTTTATTGTGAAAAAGCCTGTTTCTGTCAAGTGATTGTATTTTGCATATTTTGACACAAAAATAATGTGTATTAAATCTATGTTGAGGTATTGACATTTTAGCAGTAGACTGCATTAAAGAGGACATTTTAGCTGGTATGATGCAAGGTTCCTCACAATGCCAGTCTGCAAGAAAACACTTCCATTAATTTTTTAAAATAATTTTTGACTATCACACTATAATTTGATCACACAATTTTAAGAATTCAGTTTGTTTTTTAAAGGGAATAAGATCTTAAATGAAAGTGATGGCCAATGTGAACAAATGGAGCTTTGCTGATTGTTTTTAATCAGATACCTTTATGTCTTGGTTGATGTCATTAAAGATTTTTCTCCCCTTTATCTGTGAAATGACCATTTGAGCCTGTAAATAGCACAGTTCTTTTGATGTTATGTATGCTGGCACCTGTCATCATTGTATATTGTAGGTCTCCTGACTAGCCTGAACTTGAATGCAGTATGCCATTTGGAAAGTGCCAAAAAGAGTAGAGCAGTCATGTATTTTTGGTGATTCTAGTAAATAAAAATTAATCATGTTTGACAAATGTTTGTGGCCTTATAGTTCTGTAGGTAGAAGCTACAATTTTATGACTGTATTCAATGAACTGTGCATTGATGTTCTAGAAATAGACACAGAGTGCAAACGGCTAAAACTAATTGTGTTAGTCTGTTAAAAAAGGCAATTATGCAAAATCTGTAGATGTTCATTCTGTCAGTATTAATGATACATATGCTTAGTGCCTCTCATTTTGAAGCCTCAATGCCAGACTTAGATAAGCCATTATAACTTTTGCTAGACCACAATTGCTAGCCATCGACTTAAATGTGCAAAATTAAGTGTTTGATTTTCACCTTACCCTGCCAATTGTTTTAATTGATGATAATTTTATTTTGTACTTAACTATAGTTACATGCTACTTAAAAAAAAAATGTGTTTTATAATATATATGTGTGTGTGTGTGTGTGTGTGTCTTTACTGCACTAGTAAAAGAGGGAAAATCAGATCTGGGCTATGTGTCATACAGTTTTTTGTTTTGGGCTTTTTGTTTGTGGGTTTGTTGTTTGGGTTTGTTTTCTAAAAAAGGATGAGCCACTGCAGTATAAGATAATGTACTCTCTCATGTGGTTGCACCATTTGGTTGATAGGAACCTTGTGCCGTGTGGATTAGGCTTTAAGGAATATGGATTTACCAAAGAAAGTTCACTAAATAATAAGGCTGAATTCTTACCTCCAATGAACATGCATTTTGTGAAACTGGAATCCTGTAAACGTTAAGCCATCTCGTATCTCTGCCAGGATGATCTCTTGAAATGTGGCCTCTCTGTTGGTTTTGGTGGAACTTGGTCTTCATATAGTTCTTGGTGTGCTGCACAACTTCCTTCACTCTATTTTATTGTCTCTAAGACTCCAGAGGGAAATACTGAGAATCTAAAGCAGCTGTAATCATGAGCAGACCTCATTATTATTCCTATGTTAACTTGTGGGATAGTGCAGGATGTATGCCATGCCTGTTTCCAGACCACAAAACTTGAGAAATCCTATATGGCTGTATCTGTGCAATAACACCCACGGCAACTCAAGAGGTGCAGACCACAATGCCTTTCTTCCACAGGGGTTAAGCTTAACTGTTCTTTATTCTGCAGGCTGCCTGTTTTACAGCACAAACCACGACAGCTAATTTTGTGGGGATAGGGATAAACAGGTTGCAGGTGTCTTACTGAATATGTGATAGTGATTTGTGTTTGTGTATCAGACTAGACTAATCCAATATCACTGTTTTTTCAAGAATAATGACCAGTAATGGGTCTGCTCTGGCACTTCTATACCATAATGGAGCTATAGTGATTTGTTGATTCCAATGATAAGGAAATCTCTGCCTCAAAAAATGTCTATTCGTTTTACCATCAGTTCTGTTAGGCTTTGATTTTGTTGGTTTTGGGTTTTTTTTCCCTGACCAGTTGTCATACCCTTGACCATTGTCTTTAAAATTACAATTGCTATTACAGTTGTTTTATGGTTGTCAGAATTGATTTCTGATAAACTCTGACTTTCCACATTAAAATCAGAAATAATTTTTTTTTTTACTTTCCCCATTAAACCCTAAAATATTTTCTATTTATGTAGTTTCATTTGTGGCAACTTTACCTTTGACTGTGTATATAGTATTATTTAGGATACAAGGAAAAGAAATGGAGCTGCATCAGGGGACATTCAGAATGGATATTAGGAAAAGATTTTTTACTGTGAAGGTGACTGGTCACTGGACCAGGCTCTGCAGGGAAGTGTTTGCAGCACCCAGCCTGTCAGAGCTCAAGAGGTATCTGGAAAACACTTAGTCACATGGTTTTAGGTACTCCTGTGAGGAGCAGGGAGTGAGAGTGCATGATATTTATGGGTCCTTTCCAACATGAGAACTTCTAGGACTCTGTGATTTCATAGAACCATAACATGCTTTCCTTCCCCTACCGCCCCACCTATTTTTTTTTTTTAAGAGCATGACTAAAGCTCTGTCCTAGTTTCCCTTCTGATTTTAGCTTGGCTAAGTGTAATGCTTATCCGGAAAAGTAGCATGGAGCTGATGTTCACCCCAAAGCTCTTTACAGTACTTTTTGCAATATGTTTCTACCACTTCCTTACTTCTTGGACATTGATGATGTTGGATACATTTCTTCCTCAATCTGGAGATCTGCACCATAAAGTAGCTGACCACAAAACTTACTGTAGCACTTAAACATTCATATTTATTTAGGTTAAAGTCTGGTGATAACAGTAGTTGTTTTTCTGCAGTGCCTAAAATTTGGAAATTTTAACTGTACATGATTGCTTCAGGGTGACACACTGTTAAAATAATTTCACCCACTTTTTTTTTTTGTTTTAGGGACGCAAGAGTGAGGCAGAGAAGTACTTCATGAAGGCTATTCAGCTGGATCCTACCAAAGGAAACTGCTACATGCATTATGGTATGTTTCACATAGATAGGATTTCAACACATATTCCAGGCTTGCTGTTAATCTCTCCAAGTGATTAAAGATTTGAAAAGTTCTATTGGCAAAATACCTTCTTTAAAAGGAAAGAAACTAATCTACCATATATTACTTCATTACAATTTTTCAATCATTGTAGAGGGAGAGGTAAAGATTTTCATTTTTTGCATAGCTTTCCTCCTATGAGAGGAATTTCAATATTGCTGCCTCTCTGGGAAAGAACTAAGGTGACTATTGCCATATGTCAAAGTTTCATGGCCTGGAATATTATTGTTAACAGTTTTGGCCTGACTTTACTGATTGTTGGTGGGTGGGCAACCAGAAGTTTTACTTTAGTGTGCATGAGTTCCATATATTGAAGTGTCTTACAGGCCTTACATCTACCTTCTTCCCAGCACTTGAAATGGCAAAGTATTACAAAAGGCTTTGACAAGTTGGCTGTATCTTTCCTTTTAAGTCATGTGTGTTGCATAAAGCACACAGTTAATTTGAAGGTATCTTTGTGACTTTGGATTGTTTTTGCTAGATGTGCCAAAACATTTCCAGATGTGTTTAGTCTCAGCGAACCAAAATTATTTATCTTTATGGACTCATTCTTACTGTATTTTAAAGCTGATAATGGACAAATCTTAAAATGCAGACTACGTTGTGCCAATTGGAACATAGAAAGTAATGTTTCATCTTAGTTTAGGAAGATGGTAGGGAACCACAAAACTCACACTATATATATCTTTCTATATTATTTTAATTCCCTCTTCTGAGTCTACATGTAAAATAAATAAAAATGAATGGGCAAGAGGTAAAATTAATCTTACATAATAACCATGTTTTTACTCTGTGATATCTTTGTCTGAATTGCTCACATGTATTTGTTTGGTCCTATGCAGTATGAAATTCTGTGTGTTAGATTCCCAGAATCAACCTTTGGACTTAGAACATGTATTTAAATTAGTGTAGCCAGTCTTGCATTATTCTGCATTCTGAAACGTTGCAGTTCCTAGCCTTGTCTTCTATTTATGCCTGTACAAGTAAAGATGATAGGGATATTTGTACATATAAACCCCCTTATTTCAATTGTATGTAAGTGTTGTGCATATCTCAAGACAATAAGGAAAAGTTACAGCTGGTTGTTTCTTGAAATCCTACTCAAGATCCTTCCAGCCTTTGTTATTACGAAATTTGTCCTTAGTTATCAGGAAATTTTTGCATGCAAATTCAATGGTTGGTCCCAACAGTCCATCTCAGCAAATGATGTTAACATTTACTGTATTTTATTACAGGTCTGGAATTTTTTTCTTTTTTGCTCATTACTCATCAACTTGCTTGTCCTTTCCTGCAATACTTCCTCTGTCTCATTTTCAAGTACCCTACAGACTAAAAGCATGGTTATCCAAATCATCATTGATGTCTGATATACTGACTTCTTCATTACCAGATTACACTGTTAATGTGGTGTGATATTTCCTAACTAAGATTATTCATTAAAAACATTGGAAAACTTTTCCTTTATTGTGCCCCAGGTTCAAAAGGTGGGTTCTGTCAGAGGTAATAATTGCAACATAAGCAAGGTTCTACTCAGCAGGTTAGGAGTGAAGGGCAAGATTTCATCAGTGTTTGGAATAACAGCATAGTAAAATGGGATGCTGAAGGGCAGTAGACACAAGAAGGTTCTCTTTAACCTTCTGGAGCATTATACCCAGAGAGCTCTTCTGAATCTGTGTGAAATCTTTTCATAATATAGCTTCTGATCACCTCACTGATTCAGTGATGTTATTCTACGTTTGTATCAGAGTAGCTATGAGAAAGATGTGGTCTGCTTCTACTTGGCTCTTGTGTCTGTGTAGTACAGCTGATCTCAAATCCTTGTCACTTTGGGCACATAGCTTTATAAAATTTGAAATAAATTATCCTTGCTTTTTCTTTCTTTCTTTCCCTTTCTCCTTTCTTTTCTTCCTAGCTTTGTTTCTCTTCTCTTTTCCACCTTTTATTGAATTAATGGGGGCTGTGTACAGTGTGTTACTAAGGGCATTCCAAATAATCCATTGGAGTGTCTAGTGAACACTTCAAGCTTTACCTCTCCATCTCATTAATTTGTTCCAGCACCTTGACACAGGTACATTCTACATCCTATATGCCAAGAGTTTAATTATGGGGAAATACATCCATATTTTGCATGTAAATCTTAGAGAAAATCTTAGACAAGGTTAGAAATTTCTTTTTTTCTTAGCATGAAGATATTGGAAGAGAGAATAAAGTAGTTGGCATCAGTCCTAAAAAAAGACGTACCTCACAAAGCAGCCAAATGAAAAGAGTGGTCAGCTGGGACATGACAGGGTGTTGATGGAGTAGCAGAAATAAATGGACTGAAGATTTTCTTCCAAGTGCACATGGATTGCATACACTTATAATTTGTGCTTCCAGGTTGTGCAGATGTTCTTTTTGACTTCTAACCTTCTGGACTTGGAGCTATGAGAAGAACTTTCAATATGCTGTATTTTTAAGAGGCTTACCTTTGTATTATTATGTTCTTTAATTCAAGCTGTAAGCCAAAGCTATTTTGAGGTATGACTTGGTGCAGGAGGCAGCTTATTTAATCACACGAAAATTTGGAGGGAGTGGAGCAGTTTCATGGTTTCTCCTTGAGAGATATCACCACAGCATGTCTCTCTGCTCAAGCTGGCATTGTAATTAATTTTGTATAGGTACTTGGCTGACTTTGGGTTTAAGGGGATTTAAGTTTTAAGCAGTGTTTCCCAGACTCACTGTGCTTGAAGATTTCTGAAGGGAGAAATAGTAGAAAAGATGAGGACATATAAATCCCTGTAGACTGCTGACATGATGCCATTTCACTGGACATAAGGGGAAGTGGCTTTTGCTCTAGTGACCAGAGAGGGGATGGCAGTCCCCTCTCAGGTGGAAATGCAGGCTGATGCTCACCTGACCACCTTCCTTTTGCCCTTTTTTCCTTTCTACCTCTCATATGACACTTATCTGAACATCTGAACTTGGTGCAAAACCATTGTCTTACAAATACCTGAGCGTTGATTAGTGATCTGGTACAAGCTGCTCAGGTACACATTATGCTACCAGAAACACCTCACAGATGGAAGAGAGAAAATTCTCATGAATCAGGAAGAAGAAAGAGAGTAAAGAGTGAAGAAGCACTAATACTTTTTTTTTACACTACATACATGTTTTTGAACTAGAGTACTGAAGGAAATTTTTTTATACTGAGTTTGAATGCTTTTGTAAGGTTTGTAGCTTTTAATTGGGTATTTTTAATACACATTTTCTAAAGACTGCCTAAAATGAACACTTTTGACTAAAAGAGGTCAAACTTATTTATTTATTTATTTTTTAATTTCCCTTTTTTTTCCTCTGGAAAAGTTTTCTTCCAACTGTCATACCCACATCTACTCATGATATGGGCAGTCATGCATCCCACTCTACTCTGAACATTTAATTCAAGCAGGCCATTTTGAATCCTGCAAGGTCTCAGTAACATCGTTCTCAACAGATTGATGACATAATTGAAGTGGTCTCCATGGATTATTGATTCTTTCTCAGCTATGTGCCTTGATGAAATGAAAGGGATGAATCTAGGTGTCAGTCTGACAAACCACAAAGAGCTACCTATGAACTAAATACGTTAATAGGAACTGTCCTCTAAATATTTTAGCAATATAATGGCATATAAAGAGTCAGTACATCAAATTTGTTAACAAATGTGCCCAACATAGGGATGTTCAGTCAGGTCACACGAGTGCCCTTATGGCTCAGAGACTATGTAGTTTTGGAATATAGTATTTGGGTATATGACAAAGGAGGTATTTCTCTATTTCTGTCTGCACTGAGCCTGTCTCAGGAGAAGTTGAAGAAAGAGCATATATAAAATTTGGCAGTGCACAGAGATAAGGCACATTTCAAACAGTGACACACTTACATGCTCATCTCTTTAAAAAAAGAACAAAAACAAAATAAATTCTTCAGTAAGTAGGATGGAGTGTAATTGAGGAGTTTGAAATTGTTGAAAGCCTTCTGTACTAGCTTTCCCTTAAAGGAAAAACACCATAAATCTACAGTGATATTTGTTGTGTAACGAGTTTATCTCCAGAAGTGTCTTATTTTATTTATAATTTGCTGTTTAAAAACAAAAATATAATAATAATAATAATCATAACCATAAAAAAAAGACACCAAGCAACAAAACAAAGAAACCCCATACACAAAAAAAAAAACCACAAAACCCAAAACAAAGCAAAAGAAGAAACCAAACCCCACAAAAAACGCTGAATCAGAGTTCATTTTACTTATCTGCTAAATACAGGTTTTGCCACTATGTCTCTTAAAGTGCATATAGTGGCCTCTGTCCAAAATGAAAATGGAGTGGGGAATAAAAGAGAGAGACAAAGAAGGAGTGAGATTCCAAGATAAATGTGTGTAGAGGTCCTTCTCCCTTTTATTTATAATGGCATAATTGGAATAGAAAAGTCTGTAACCCAACAGGATGTTCTAATTAACTCTGTTTTATTAATAGCTGTTGAGACTTCCTTTTAAAATAGTTTCTTTTGAATAATACATTGTTTCAAATAACCCAAAATTGTTTAAAGATTCATTTTTATTATAAAAATTGATTATTCTCGTTATAAAATTACACATTCACTTAATTTGGCAGTTCACATTGATCATCTCCCTTTTTAAGTGCATTCCCAGTTAGAGATGTAAAACAAAAGGAGAATTTCAGATTATATAAAACTGAATTGTATTAGCTATATCCTCATTGAACTAAGAACAGATTAACATATTCCCAAATACACTTCTGTTTTTACATTGTCTTTCACTTTTGAATTAGTGATAATTTAAGAGTTATTTTTATAGATTTTCTTACATTATCTGTTTCTTTTTAAGCAAATTTAACTTCTTAAAGCTGTTTTTATTGTTTTTCGATTTCGTCCTAATCTTTCTAATCACTGTTA